CAAAAAAGAATTTTTGAGAGAACCACAGAAATGATAAATGGGAAAAAAAAGAAAGAAAGAAACATAAAAAGATCCACATCCTGCGTAGGCAAAGGTTTCTAAGTTATAATACAAAAACTGCATGAATCATAAGAGGAGAACTTGATAAATGGAATTTCATCAAAATAAAGAATACTGGCTCTTTGAAAATGTTCATAATACCTTTACCTGATAAAAAACTTGTATCCAGAATATATAAATAACTGTTAAAATTAACAGTAAGAAAAGAAATTCCATGTAAATAAAGGAAAAAGATTTAAACAAGCATTTTGCAAAAGACTGACAGACAATAAACACATGCAAAGATGCTCATCATCAGTAATCATCAGAGAAATGAAACCACAGTGAGGTTATCATTATAAATATTAGACTGGCTAAAATTAAAATGACAATACAAAGTGTTGAGAAGGATGTAGAGTATTTGTAACTCTCATACATACCTGATCAGTTAAAACGTTAAATGACTTTGGAAAACAATTTATCCATTTCACATTAATTTAAAATCGCACTTAGCATATAGCTCAAGAATCCCAATTCTAGGTACTTCAACAAGAGAACTGAAAACAAATGTTCACACATTCATACACAGATGCTCTTAACACTTAATCAGAAGCACCCCAAACTGGAAATAATCCAAACACCCATCAACTGGTAGTGGGTAAACTGTGGAGTGATCATAAAAATGGAATGCGATTCAGCAATAAGGAGGAACACACTGACACAGGTGATAACATGAAATAATGAAAGATTATTATGTTGTTTAAGACAGACACAAAAATACACTACATGATTCGATTCATTAAAAAGATTAGAAAAATCTAATCTACAGTAAGAGAAAGCAGATCAGAGGTTGCCTGGAGCAAGTGGTAGTAGGGCAGAGTTTTCATTAAAATATACACTTGAAACACATTTTATTGTATGTAAATTGTACAATAATAAAATTGGTTAAAAATTTCTGGACAATCATTTGGAAGAAGATAAAGTGGATGCATAACCTGCACTGTGTACAAGGTAATTTTCAAGTGGGTTAGAAATTTAAACGTAAAAAGGGGGAAGTTACATAAATCCTAGAAGGCATATGAATTCTTTTACTTCATGAGTGGGCAAAATTTTAAAAACTGTAAATCAAAAAATCCAAAGGTGAAACTCAGGAGAAAAACCATAAAACTTCTAGTGAGAAAAAAACAGAGGAGAAAATCTTTGCAACCTTTTAGTATGCAAACATAGGAAACAAAATAACCATTCAAAAAAACTTTGATAAAATGGACTCCAAAATTTAAAACTTCTGCTCTTTCAAAGACATTTTAAAAAGTGAATAAATAAGCCATAGACAAGAAAATGTTTGAAATACATACATCAGAAAAAGGACTGTATTCACCCCTACAACACAGTAAGATTAACAACTCAATAAAAAAAAGAATGAGGAAAATTTTGATACAATGATATACAGTAATTTCTACAAAATACTGTGTCTTCACACAAAAAACTCATGGGTGCAGAACAGTACATACAGTATGCTTCCTTTTGCATATAGCGGAAGAAAAATAAATGTCAACAAGGATATCGAGACAATTTAATGAGGAAAGAATAGTCTTTCCAGCAAATGGTGCTGGGATAACTGGGTATCAACATGCAAAAGAATAAATGTGGACCCTATCCTCATCCTATACACAAAAATTACCTCAGAATGTATTACCAACCTAAATGTTAAAGCTGAACTATGAAACTTTTAAAAGAAATCACAGTAAATCTTGGAGACCTTGAGTCAGGCAATGGTTTTTCAGATATGACACCAAAAGCACAAGCAACAACAAAAAACACAAATAAACTGAATTTCTATCAAAATTTAAAATTTTAGAAGAACACCATCAAGCAACTAAAAAGACAGACCATAAAATGGAGAAAATATCTGTAAATCCTTTAACTGATAAAGGATTTGTATACAGAAGATATAAAAAACTCATACAACTCAGTGATTAAGAGACAAATAACCTAATTAAAAACTAGGTCAAATATTTGAATAAATATTTCTCCAGAGAATATATGCAAATAGGTCAATGAGCACACGAAAAAAACGTTCAACATCATCAGTACTAGAGACATACAAATCAAACCATAATGAGATACTATTTTATAACCACTAGGATGGATCTAGCCCAACACCTCCTCCTCCAAAACAAACAAACAAAGAATAAAAAAGACAATATCAAGTGTTGGTTAGGATGTGGAGAAATTAGAACCCTTGTACAATACTGGTAGGAATATAAAATGGTGCAGCCTCTTTGGAAAACAATGCAGCAGTTCCAACAGAGTAATTTCACTCCAAGAGAAAAAAACATACACAAAAACTATACACTAATGTTCACAGCAGCATTATTCATAACAGTCAAAAAGTGGGAACAGACCGAAGTGGCATCAGCTGATGAATGGATAAATAAAATGTGGTATTTATATAAAGGAGTGTTATTCAGCCATAACAAGGAATGAAGTACTGACAGATGCTCCAACATGGATGAACCTTGAAAACATAATGCTAAGTTAAAGAAGCCAGTCACAAAACACTACATACAGTATGATTTTACTCATACGAAATATCCAGAACAGACAGATCTATAGAGAAAAGAAAGGAGATTAGCAAGTCTAGGGTATGAGTGTGCGTGTGCATGGGGCAGGAGAGGGGGAACTACTACAGGGCACAGGGCTTCTTTTGGGAGTGTAAAGATGTTTTGACATTGACTGTGGTAATGACTGGACAACTCTGAGAATATCTTTAAATCCACCAAACAGTATACTTCAAATGGATGAAATTTATGGCATATGAATTATAGTTGCCCCTTGAACAGTATCAGTGTGAACAAAGGTCCACTTATATGCAGATTTTTTTTCCAGTGGTAAATACTATAGCAATACACAATCCACCACTGGCTGAATTTGCAGATATGGAACTGTGGACATGAAGGACTGACTACAAATTATACTCAGATTTTTGACTGCATAGAATGCACAGAGGGTCAGTGCCCCCAGCCCCTGAGTTGCGTATAGAAGACAGTATTTTGGAAGTAACAAAGGTAGCAACTCCTGACTGAAAATTTGCACTTAAGGAATTCTTAGTGAAACAGATACTAAAGTAATATTCCAAATAAATTTTAAACTTTATCTTGCAGTCCAACGAGACAACAAATCTTTTGAAAATATCTTATACACATTATAGGAAAATGTAAATAAGCTAGCCTCTAAGATGCCCCCCCCCAGTGACCCTGCCTCCTGGTATTCACAACCATATGCAGTACCCTTCCACAGGTACCAGATTTGCTCTGTGCGATCTACATAGCAAATGACAAAACACTATGTCACTTCCAAGATTAGGCTGTAAAACAAATGGCAGCTTCCATTTAGGTCAGTTTCTTTCTGAACACTCATTCTGGGAGAAGCTAGCTGCCATACTATGACCAGAACTATCCTGCCAAAAGCTCTGAATCTGGAAGCAGATCCACCAGCCCCAGGTAACTGCTGCACTAGCCAATACCTTGTCTTCAACTTCTTAAGAGATTCTAAGGCAAAACCATCCAGCTAAGCTGTCCTGGATCCCTGACCCTCAGAAACTATGTGAAATAAAATGTTTATTGTTTAAGGCAGCTAAGCTTTGTGGCAATCTGTTAAAAGACAGATAATGTAGTTAGTACTTTTACAAGGTAAGAGAATAAGAAATGCAAGCAAAAAAGTCACAATAAAAATCTCGCGATGTTAACTTGAACTGGATATACCAAGATACATTTCTGAATTTTTGAAAAGAAAAAAAAGTACATGTTAGCACCTGGTAAATTAATTTAGCAAATGCTCTTTCCAAGTTTAACATCAAAAACTTCAAAATTCAATTATACTTTTTGAAGATGATCCTCAACACTCATTACTGATGAGTATTTCTTCTCTGCTTTTTGTTCATAAAACTCCATCTAAATGTCTGATGCAATGTTGGGCATCAAAAGTCAATGCACAGCCTCATCAAAAGTCAAAACTGCACTGCAAGTATTTATTCATTATTAATTAAGTTATTTAATTCATGCAGCATGCAGATTACAAGCAAACACAGGCAGGATTATTCTCACCTTTACCTGCTCTATATGTCTTGGCTTGATTCACTGGCATGGGCGTCATAGGTATAGGATATAAAGGCTTAGGGAAGTAAACAAACAAACAAAAAACGAAGATTAGGCTCTCAAGATATTAAGAATGTACTTCACTACTCTCTTCATTGCATATTGCTAGAGAGCTAGTTCTGAGGTTTCTTGATTCTCTTGATTCTCTGTAAGTCATTAAAAAATAAAATCACACCCACAGCTAAAAGGACAAACCCCAAACTACAGTAAATCTGAACCATTTTTCTTACCAGAATACATTCTCACATTTGGGTCCTTCTACTAACACCAGACCACACCACTGCACGCCTCCCCTTTCTAAATACTTCTTTTACACCATCACATCCTCAAGTGACTGCACACCTACAGAGTGCTTGGTATCAAATACAAACAACTTGGAGAGGGTAAATGAACATCAAATTCTATGACTTACTTGCACGCCTGGGCTCACGGGGACTGGATACATCATATTTGGTGCAAAACAAACAGGTTGAGTATAAACTGGTGTTGGCTGCTGATGACCCACCATAGATGGGCTAGGTTGTGCTTGAGGACGAGGTGAAGTTGGGGTAGTAGAAGGCTTTGGCTACAATAACAAAAATCAACAGTCTTAAGGTGAAAAGCTAACTATTATTATAATTTGAAGACAGATTTCCCCCATCTTTAGTTTTACTCACTTTGAATTATTCCCTCAATGAAAGTATCTTATAGAAAATAAACTTCACCAGGTTTCAAATAAAAGAAAAAAATTACTTTGGTAAATAGTTAAAGTAAAATGCTACCAATTAATTATCAACACTATTAAAAATAGGAGTGGTGACTTTTAAGGAACTGGAGAAAGTGTTTTAAAAAATTAAAAAATAAATCTATCCTCTTCACAAAGTCAGCAGAATAATAACAACAGTGTGTCTATGAACCTGAGAGCCTAGCCTAGTTAGCCAACCATCTTCAAATTCCGAGTCAGAAAGATTCAGATTTGCCCAGATCACATCTACTTGATGAAAAAACTAGAATTTTTCCTATGGCTCAAAAATATACATTAACGACCATACAAGAAAAAGGAACTTAAACTACAAGTCGTTTTAGAATACTATAACTGAATTAAATGGTAGGTATGGGAAAAGATACATTACTACTACTGCTAGTTTTTTTTTAAGAGACTAGAGAAAAGAAAAACTACCTGAGAAAAGGAACGAGGGTTGAACTCCTTCGCATTGGGATTCAATGTTGATTTCCTCACTTGCCTAAACCAGAAAAAAATAAACACCAGTAAAATCTGCATGGAACTTATGTTTCTCTGAAGTCTTTTATACCTGATAGTTTAAAACAGTTACCTGTAGAAGATCACTAATTCTCTTCATTAAAACACACACACATATTTCCCACTCAATCTAATAATCACTAACCAAAAAAGGGACCACATTTTTTAGAAGTGTAATATACAATGTTTCTCTCAAAGGCAATCAATACAAACAAACTGAAACGACAATAACCCCTTAAGAACAATCCTTAATATACCAATTCTCTAGCATGCAATATTTTTTTATGTAACAAAATGTTTCCTACATGAAGTATCTTGGGAAAAATCATGACTCTAATAAAAATTTTTGCCTCAAATCAAAATAAAGTGCTCCCTGACTTATCAACAACCTGCATTCCAAAAGTTCAGCGGTAACTGAGCTGTATGGAACTCAAAAGAAATAAATCATTGGTGGTGTGGTTTGGTTCTAAGGCCAGCCCACAAAAGCCCATTTAATTGATAGTATGTTGGATTTCCAGAATTAAGCCCATCTTAACAAATCTAATCACTAGCTAAAATGTTGTTTCTGATAGAAAACACATGGAGAAGCAGGGGCACTAAATCTCTCTCTTCTTGGCAGTGGCAGGTATTAGTCCTAGTAGCACAGCTAAGAAGTAGGTATACTACCACCCAGGGGATACTGGCCCCCAAAGCTAGTCATTTTTCAAATCCCTGTACGTTTACAAAATAGTCATTCTTAATTTATATGCAGTTTTTTTGCCAGGGGGAGCAAAGATGGTGGAGAAGGGAAGAAGAGTACAGGGTGCAATGACCTAACTTACTTGAAATGGCATTTGTTTACCAGTTGTTTGTAAGCTGAGGACTACTTAAAAGCCTAGACAAATTCCTGAGTTGGAAAGCCCTGGGCACCTTAGAAACAGTAAGGAACAACAACAACAACAACAACAACAACCAAGTAAGGAACAGGATGTGCTGAATTCCGGGTCTACTCACTCAGCTGCATCTTTCTTCTCCTCTTTATCATCTTTCTCTTGTTTACATCCTGGACTGGAAGTCTGAACCCCCTGGGATGTGACCTCAGGCCCTCTCTTGTGCTCCACGTTACTGAGGATTGAAGGGGAAATGCTGGGGCTGCTCGGCTTGCTGCTGCCACTGGTGCAGTTGCTGCTATTTTCAATGAAAGAATCCTTAGCATTTGGTTCAATTTTGTCTTTGATCAAATCTCTTGATTTTTCTCCCTCTCTATTTTTGTTTATCAGTTGATCCATAGATTCAGAAGTAGCACTTGGCTGTAACTAAATAAAGGAAATAATTATACTTAAATAGTTTAAATAACTCTAGTAAACAAGCTTTTTCCATGAGCACAAACTAGTATTTGTAAGCATAAAATATACTGAATAAGGCTTTTTCCATACTTTAGAGTAGTATTTTTATTATAAGGCAATAATAACAAAATGTCTATACAACGTAATTCTAGTCATCTAAGCACTCAAATGTCCTAGACTCA